CCATATTATTGACTTTTTTGGCATTAAGCCATCCTACTATTGTAGGATGTTTTGTTGTTTCCTGCAAATTTATTTTCAGTCAGTAGCGATTAGGTGTCATATTCTACTGTAGAATTTCCTTTAGGGATATTTTGAAATGTTTGTACACAGAAAGGTTTTAAAAAAAGATTAAAAATGTGATTATAGGATATAGAAAACAGAAAGAGAACTCGAAATTAAGGGGTCTTGTGTTGCTTTTAGATATTAGAACTAGGTATGTGTGTTCTGTAATTTTTTTAAAAATTCTCTGATTCCTTGAGTCCTTTTAGACATAAAAGATCAGAGAAACAAATCCTGGATTGAGGGATTTGTGATCATCTTTTATTTCCAGTTATGTGCATTATTTTTTGGGTAGGACAAAGGGATGCAAGGCATAAAGTGAACAGGATCTTCAGTATCATTATCAAATGATTCACTGTGAACATTCTTATGGCGGGGTTTGTTCAAAACGCCATGAAACTGAAAAATAATTAAGACCCCAAAACTACAATACATATTGTGAAAGGGAAAAAAAACTGCTCAAAAATAAAGAACAACATGTAAATATATATATGATAGATAAGATAGTTATACTACTGACTTCTTTTAGTTTGTTGAAAAAAAATTGTGCTTATATTGTTTGATCAATTGTGCATGCCTACATTTTGTAATCTAAGCAACTAATTTGAAGATAATATATTAAGCATTGTTAATCTCCTATTATTTTCTTTTGAAATTCTGTATTTTTTTTCTTTTTTTCTCTTTAAAATAAAAAAATGCTCATGTGTTCCCAGTATTGAAATATAATATTGTCCAGTGTTCATGTCACAAAATATATTTATTGAGTTAATATTTAATTTACACATACTATTGCTTCATGACCAAGGAATAATACATAGTATGATCATGAAAGGGACTCAATTTGAGCACCAAACTCTCAACTGTAACATACCAAAGTCCCTACAAAGAGTAACTGTTGCTTTTAATCTGACTCTGTAAAAGGTAACAAAAGTGTTTCTAAGAATAATTTAACACCTGCTCTAGAATGAAAAATGTATTCATTTTACAAACAATACAAACATAAATACATTAATGTGTGAATGCAAAATATTCTTAGCTCTACTGTACATATATATTTTTATGGCTAGGCGTGCTTGGAGCTTCCTCTTTGATATTAGTTGATCTTACTCTGTGTTCAGTGTTGTTCTTGGAGCTAACCTATCACATATACTAGAGCCCTTAATATTTGTAGTTTTATTTGCAGCTTCTGCTCAAGTTTGGCGGAAAATACACACCAAGTGCATATTTGTAACAATTGATAGCCAGAAAGAATTCTCCACCTAACAAATTTTGTATAACTGCTACTTAACATTGCTTCTTTCTCGTAAACCATTTCTTTTGGCTGAGTGCTTCATCTATATTCTCTCTCCCAACATCATCCACACTAGCACTGCCCTGTTGGTGTATACCAATGTCTTTTTACAGGTTTTGATAGGAATAGTCACTTCCTAAATGGGGTTAGAAGAATGAGAGAAAGAATGTTGGCTGTTCTGGCATATTCTAGGGAAGGATTTGATATAGCCTCAACCTCTGAGGTTCAGTTTAGAGCAATCATCGTGGCCTGGAGCACTTAACACTTCAAATATAAAAGTTAAACAATAAACTATTTTTATAAAATTACTTTTATAATGAATGAACACATTTTACTTCTGAGATTGTATGATGCCAGAATATATTTTTATCTACCTCCTAACAACTCAAAGAATTAATACTTGATCCAGTGGAAAAAAAACTGATGAAAAAATTGTAGTGCTGTAGATCTCCTATGAAAAAGTGAAATATCAAGTAAGCTGTGGTATCCAAAACTGCATGCCACTGCTGATTTTTACTTTTTCTTTTGCATTGGGCATTCATCTCTTTACTCCAGACACTGTCCTCGATGCCCATGGTTGCTCAGATTTCCTCACTGATGCCAACTATGAGTCATTTTAGACATCTTTGTCTCTTCCTTTTCATTTTTCCTCTGATAGGATTCTACTCTCCTGGGTGATTATTGCAGTATGCGTGAGTGTAATAATTGTGAGGCCTGGGCAAGACCATAGATGGAGTCTCAAATATTTTATGCCTACATTAGTTAATCATTTTATGTATTCAATATTGTTCATGGATCAAATCTATTTCAATACTGAAAAACTTCTGCTCACATGGGGTCCAAAAGCCATGCCAAAGGGCACATCATTATCAATTAAAAGCTACAAAAATTTCTTCCTGTGCAAAAATAGTGCACAACTGTTAGTAACATTGTTTCCTTGCTCATAAACATTTTCTTTATAATAGAATTATCATTCTCAAGCAGGAATTATTAAATACAATACTTTATCTTCCTACTATGACAAAAAATTTGCAGTAATCTGGATGGTCAGCTCCAGGGTTAATTTTAGGGCTCCTTAGGAATGTGGTATGACATAAGGAAAAATAGCCTCCAGCATGTAGCCTCTTTTCCACCCTGTTCTGTCCTAAATTGTGAATGATCTGTATGAAAGCAAGTAGAAACACTGGCCCCTCATCTAAAATCTGCATACTTACACTTTAAACTGATATGACTGGTTCTCCAATCCTTCCTAGATGTGTGAGTATTGACTTCATGTTCCTCTGTTGAGGGGACAGAGAGGAAGATGATTCTACAGGCTCTGAATAGCTGTGACTATTCAGGAATCACAAGCCTTGGAGTATGAAATGAAATGCAGACTCAGTGAATATATTACTTGAATTCACAGACTGCCTAGTGGCAGACATAGCCAGAAAAAGGCCAAAGTGATGTTATGGGTGATGCACTGTGTCAACTTGAGGAGTCTAGAGTCTTGGCTAAGTGACTCAACAGTTCTACATCCTGGGGTGAAAAGGACACACTCTTCCTGCTGTAGGATGTTTTTTGGTATTCATCCTGAGCCTGTGCAAGAGGAGGGCACTGAGATGGTGTGGGTGTGGGTGGACAGCCAGCATACAATGTAAGGGAGGAAAAGAGTTTTGCTCCCCATCCCCCTTTTGGCTCTTGTTGCTTTTGCTGTCTTCTGATAAATTGTTGCCCTCTGCCATGTGCCACTCTGCCTTGGAGCCAGCTGTTTATAGACTGAAACCTCCACAAACTGTGAGCTAAATATAACTTTCCTTCTTTAATTCTCCGTGTCAGGTATTTTGTCTCAGCAATGAAAGGAAAGTAACTAAAACAGTGTGCAAGAAACACTTGAGCACTTGAAACTTCTTCTTTTGAGTTTTTGACTTTTGTTAGCATATTCTTGCAGGGCATAATGATTGCATTCATTGTAGGTTGTTGCTACAGGTACTCAACACATTTGTTCTTTCCCCTTCCCTCCACCCCCTTTCATTTTGCCAGCATCATATTCACTTATAAGACCTTATAAAGTTAATTATATATATATATATAGATAGATTAAAAGCAGACAGATAAGTAAACAACATGTAAATGCATAAGACAATTGCATTAGTTCAAGGTAAACTTTTAGAGAAATTGTCCCCATTGCTACTAGCTTGAGCATAGAGATCAGGAGTAGGTACAGGTAACTCTGTTGCAATAACTCATATGAGAAACAATGGTGGGTCAGGTCCTAGCAACAGACAGAAATGGTTGAATTCTTGATCATTTTGCAAAGACAACAAATAGAATGGATCACATCTGCTGCATGAATTCTTGATCATTTTTCAAAGACAACAAATAGAATGGATCACATTTGCTGCATGAGGGAGATGAACCTATTGTTTTGACTTGAAAACCAGGATGGATTAACCTCAACTAAGATATGTAAGACTGATGTAGGGATGGCAATGAAAGATCCGTTTTTTATAGGTGTAGCTGAAAAGAATATTAGTCATGCAAATGGAAGTAAATCTTTGTAGATAAGGAGGGGAAGAGGGGCAAAAGGGAGAGGAGTAGTTTAGGGAAAAAAGGAATCAAGATATATCTATAAAGGAACAAATTCCCTGTGATGAGTATGATCATTATGTATATCTAAATTGTACCAATAAAGTTAATAAAAAAGAGGATACTGAGTAGGCTGTTGGATTTATAAGTCTAGGGTTTAAGGGAGAGAGTAGAGAGAAACATTTGGAGATCGCCAAATTTGAAGCAGTATAAGATTCCTAAGGGGGTGAGAGTAAATACAGAAAAAAGATGAACACTGGTGTTTCTGGGATACTTCAGCACCTTTGAATTATTTTTGTTTTTTCATTTGATTAATATATACTGGCATAACTTTTGTGATCATTTTGATCATTTTACTAGATGATAACTCTAGATAAAACTTACAATCTTATGACAGTTTTGTTTAAAATACCTCATTGGCTTTCAAGTAATTGATATAAACAATTAAATTTAAATATTAGTAAAAATAAAAAATGTGGTATAATGAGTTTAGAGATAATAAGTTTTTAACACATGCTGTTTATAAATATGTACCCCAGAGATATACAGACCTAATATTCTTTGATAAATACAGCACTAAACAGAAACATGGCCATTTAAAATCTGTACGAAAGTCTACAAATTATGCAGCAGTGTTTTATATGCAATAAGTTTACCAACTTGCTATTCAATGTAAAGGTTGATTGATGGTTATGTGTCCTTACGGAACAGTACTCGGCCTGTGAATGAGACTATATTCCTTTGACTGTATTCCAACCTCAGGTATGAGAAGTGCCTCACACAGCAAAATCCATTGTTTTATTTTTTGCACATCATCAGCTTTTTAAAAATACTTCAAAAAAGATTCTGCCCCTTTCACATCATGTATTACACTCCAATATGAATGTGACTATGTTGTAGAATGAGAATATAGTGTGTAGATTAGTGTATTAAGTTAAAAACCAAAAATTAGAGCTAAATTCATTTAATTTAAATGACTATATACATATACTGACAAATGGTTGCACTGTTTTAACACAGGAAATTGTTTGTGTCTTTTCAGTCCATCCGAGAAGTCACAGGCTATGTACTAGTGGCTCTTAACCAGTTTCGTTACCTGCCTTTGGAGAACTTACGGATTATTCGTGGGACAAAACTTTATGAAGACAGATATGCCTTGGCGATATTTCTCAACTATAGAAAAGATGGAAACTTTGGACTTCAGGAACTTGGACTAAAGAACTTGACAGGTAAGGAATATTTCACAAATAACAAATATACATTTACTATAAAGATAATATACAGTGTTACTGTGGGATGTGTAAAATAAGGAACACTTCAAAACATTTAAATATCTGCTATTTATTGATTTTTATGAGAAATGCTGCCTATGCTTTTATTCACAGATTTTCTAAGTGCAGCTTGAAAGATACCATAATAGTATATCTCAGCTGAACAGAAATAAACTCTAAGGTACTGTTCAGTGACTGAAAACTAAGATATGAAGCTGGTTTAAGAAAGCTTTTGGTGGACTCAGCTGAACAGTGGACCATATCATGAAATCTCTTCAAAAACATCACAGCTCTCACTCTTGTGAAAGCTTCGTAATACCTAAAACTTTATATTTCATTCAGTTAATCTTCAGGGTTTTTGTTTTACACAATCACAAAAAATTTGAGAAATATCTCATTTTTCTAATTTCTCTCATTCAGTGGCTGATTAAGTGTCGTAAAGCAATTCTTTCTTGAAATGCTTCAATATCGAGTTACTTTTTCTCTTAAGGTTTAAGATACATAATGCTAGCAGTCTACAATTATTATGGCGATAATGTCTTATCAGTTTATATAGTTCATAGTTCATAAAGGATCTGATGGAAGAATTTTTGGCATGATGTTTCTTATGAATTTTACCATGTGCCCTATAAGAAGGAGTATTATTTAACCACAGTGAAAATGATCTATATATTTTGCATCCAAAATATAGTAATTTTATATGAATTTTGATCCCACTGTGTAGTAATGTTCCCAGACAATGAAAATTAGATATGTTAGAACTATTGTCTTATTAAAATAGTAAATAGAAGGCCAGGTTAACAAGATTTTCAAATTATTGATATTGCTTGTTCTTCTACATTAATAATGAGTATAAAATGTACATTTTAAAACTGGAAATAGCTTCATAGTCTGATATATGAGATAAAATTGGGATATTGGGGGTGAAGAAAGGAATGCTGATTATATTATTTATTTAGGACATGATCACTATAAAAGTGATGAAATAATGGTAAATGCAAATGGTTCAGAATTTAGAGATTCCTTCATAAACATGTTATTTTCTTTCTTTCAAAGATAGCCTCTATTGAGGATTGTTTTACTAAATTGCTACTTACAAATAAATAATGATAGAAGGAAAAATTTTGGAAATGATATGGGTAAAAAATTTTGAATGATTGAAATTAGGAATCTAAAAATAATATAGTCCAGTAAAAATTTGAATAGGAAGCATTGTGTTTTTTTCTTCCTTTTCTCTAATTAGAAGAAGAATATGTTTCTCTGAAATATTTTATACTTGAGTCCCATTTTTATTCTACAAAATGTGCTATTTTAACAATTTTCCATATATTAAAATAGTCTTCAAAGAGTTGTCACATGTATTTCCACATCTAAAATCAGTATTACTAAAATATTGAAATCTATGCCAGTTTTAAACATACCTCAACTATTGAGTAAATTCTCATGTATTAATTATGATTATAGCTCTTGCTTAAAAATTATCTTACCAAAATATAACATAACTATTTCAAAAATATTGTTGTATTTTCTCTGTCAGAATCTCTGATGATATTTTCTAGTGCAGTTTGACAGATGGATAATTAATTAATGATTATGAGTTTATTGCTTAGAAAAATCTATATTTATTAGATTTTTTTATTTATTGTTAATTTCTATTTGAACATGAGTTAAAGAACTGTGCAATAAAATAAAAATGAAAAGCTAGACTAATTTGGAAATTTTCTCAGAGGTTTTACATATTATATATTTGAAAATTATATGCCAAAATTATTCTGTAAGAGGGAGTCTAGTATTATGAAATTTAATTTAGGTAATATGATACTAACTTCAATTTTTACAGTCATAAGTTACATAGCAAACATAAATGTATTTGTGTGCAAGAATATGTAAGGAAGAAGGACAAAATACACCTGTTTATAAGAAAAAGAATTTGGGGAAACTTTTAACATAATATCTTAAAAATCTACATATTCTAGATGGCTTGGTTAAGGTTACAAATGTACACTGAAATTTGCTTCAAGTGGGAGTGATTTTGGAAGGATGGTTTACTTTAAGTTGGAAGGATGTTTACTCTAAGTTGCTTGTTTATGTGCTACATACAGCAAGCTGATAATTAAAAACAACACTCTGTACTAAGTGTAAGGCCACTTCGCTGGTCCTAATTACAGGCTTAATAGAAAACCTGCTTAGTCAGCTATCTCACTACACTAACCTCACATAGTGTATCACATTTTTGACTCAGTTCTTAAAGGACCAGCAATATCAACAAAGAAACACAAGTTGGGCCTCAGCTGAGACCCACGGAGTGAGAAACTCGGGATTGGGGCCCAGTGAAGGGTTTTAAGTTTCCCTCGAGTGACTCTGATTACTAAAGTCTGAGAAACACTATATTCTCATTGACTAAAGGTATGTTACCAAGAAATACTAGCACACTATTGAGTTAGCCTCTGCATACTTAAATGACAAAAATAATTTTCATTCATTTATCATGTTATAGAGGAGAAAGGACAGGACTAGATAAGTTTTTGAATGATAAGAAACATACTGTAAGGCCAGGCATGGTGGCGCACACCTATAATCCCAGTACTCAGGAGGCTGAGGCAGGAGGATTGTTGTGAGTTCAGAACCAGCTTGGGATGCAAATGAGCTCAAGGCCAGCCTGTACTGCATAGCAAGACCCTGTCTCAAAAAGACAAACAAAATGAAACAAAAATAAAATAAAATCCCAGGGATATAGCTCAGCAGCATAAGTGTTTGCTTGGTAAACCTGAGGTCATGAGGTTGATTCCCAGTACAAAAAAAAA